ATTTACAACGCTAAAATCTGGGGTTCGATTCCCCTCGGTGGACACAGCAGATAGCTCGATGTGGCTTTGCTCCAAGAAAAACACACATAGAAATTATCCACTAGTACAACGTATTTGTATCTTTAAAACACAAACAAGGTTAAGAACTAAAGTCTCCCCCACATGTCCGAGTTCCATACTTTAGTACATTGGTTCCACCGCCAGGAGGCTTCAGTGATGTTCGTTTTTGTTGAATTTCGCGCTAAGCTACACGAGGGCTATCTGTGCTAGCCATTACTAAGTTTAGAAGAGACAGACTAGAGGGAAGGCCAACTCTTAGGCTACATTATAACGTTCCCACGGTTCAGTGGTGGGATTTGAACTTGCGATCCACAGGCTACTTACTAGTCGAGTGCAATAACCACTAAGCTAAAGAAGGCTTTAGCAGAAATACAAAATACATCGGAGGTTAAAATATCATCGGCAAACGCATATTTATGGCAAGCTACTGTGATCAAAACGTATTGGTTCAACACGTTGCCAAACAAGCCAATGAAAGCATATTTTTCAATCATGTAATGTCTGTACAAGGCGTTGCATCAACACGTTATGTCCATTAGATCGGTATCAAACAGAGTCAAAAGTTCATAAATTATTAAGTATATAACTCAACAGGTCGTCCAAGTTTTCGTCTAAGTGTTATGGCCTTGTAAACTGGTAGGCCATAACATTAAATGAAATCATTTCCGAAATAGCCAACAAGACTGTATTTTGTAAATTATTTACTTTCCTGATGTCCATAGTTGTTGACACAACAGAAGCCACTGGTTATGACAAGCCATCGGAGTCATAACGTATTGGATCAACGTATAGCCGAACTTTCTATTATGCGTTGCATAAATGTATGACCATGTATAACCATGATGTTAGAAAAACATGTGGGTTCAAGAAGTCTTGATAGAAATGAATAAAAACCTTGTAACCAGAGCGCTTTCAAAAGGTGGACTATTTTTCTTCAGGGGCAAACAGTTTGCCCCCAATGAAGAAAGGTCCACCTTTCGAAAGCGCTTGAGTTATAGGGTTTTTATTCATGACCATGTATATGATAGCCAACAGGGCCATAACGTATTGACTCATCGAGTTGTACACGTTTGACTACGCGTTGGATCAACGTGTTAACAGAGTCATAACGTATTATTTACTCAACGCGTTGCCGAAGTAGTTAATCTCACTTGCAGTTACGCAGTGTATTTCTTCATTGAATAAAAGTGCCGTATCCGTCAGCTTACGTCTTATGTTGATGACTATGGACGTTGGGAAGACAGCATTTGTAATCCGTATACCCTGGACACATTTCGGTAGCATTCCTCAAATATATCTAGACAGCAGAACCTTAACCTGCTCTCCGAGTAGATATAAAGTTTCTTTGGTTGTTGTTAAGCGCAAAGCTACACAGTGGGTTATCTGTGCTGTGTAGATTACGAATCGTGAAATCCAGGTTTTAGCGGTGGGAGCCCTCAGACTTACCGCTGAACAACTGGGGAAAGGGGGCAGTAAGTGTGAAGATCAATTTGCCAAATAATATATTTGAAAATATGAGGCCTAGCAAAACTTACGACAGTCATGTTGGATATTTCCCCAACGTGTTGAACCAATACGTTATGGCATAAGCGTCCAATTTACTTCACGCCATTTGGCTCCTCCGAGATCCCAAATGGGGCCAGAAACACAAACTCGATTCCAGATTCGGGTCCAGTGACCCTGCAAACTTGCTCCTAGTCTTCATCATGTCTGGCGGGCTTTCCGGGCGCGTTTTAACTCCCCTTGGTATTCCATATAGATAATAACACACCAGGGCCATCCTGAGTTCGTCTGCGCTCTGCTAGCTCCAACACTGTAACAAGGAATTCGCGTACAAATATGTTTGAAATTATATTCATACCTCTACTCACAAACTAGTAGGGCCAAACGTGGCACACGTGCTTAGGTACCACGGGCGGATATCCTAAGGATGCTTGCTTTCGGGTAGCTATAACAATAATTAGGGATAATGGGGGAACTTGAAGCCTCTGTGAATCATGTGGGGGGCCTTTTAACCCCGCAGCGAGAAGCGTGTATTTTATTGCTAGTTGGTTCAACTCGTTGTCGAACACGCCGATGATAAATTCAATCACATGATGTGCATACAACTCGTCATGTCCCTATCGACGTACTGGCTTAACGCATTGTCAAAACGGCCAAATAATTCCTAAATAATTCACTCTCCTGATATCCATAGTTGTTTTTCTTAAATAAGCAAGTGCATTGTGTAATGTGAAATGTGACTGGCTACTTCGATCTGTACTGGCAATCGATCTACAGGGCCATAACGCATTTATCCAACACACAGCCGAAAATCGACATCGCGTTGAGTCAATACATTATGGCCCTGTTGACTATCATCTACCGAACCATACATGCTGGAGTGCAGTGACATTCAACCACTTAAATAACAGCTTACATTTTTTTACAAACCAGCACAGAAATGACCTACGCACATTGTCACACATCTGGAATTCCCAGTACACATATCGTCGGTGGGACCATATTAAGTTTACTACTATAATATCATACACATATGGTTCACACACACACACACACACACACACACACACACACACACACACACATACATACTATATATATATATATATATATATATATATATATATA